ATATCTTAGCTTTTGCTGGAAAATGATAAAAATGCAGACAATTTTTTTTAAAAGGGGTAAAAGAGTAGCTGCTGGTTTCTAGCTAGATTAGTGTCTATAGTTTCAATGGAATTTTCAGTGAAATGCAACAGCTTCAACGAACATTTTTCTAAAGAAGAACCACAGGACTGGACCAGTTTTGAGTTACACCCAAGCATCTCTGAAGTATTGGAAATCCTGTTCTCCGAGGGAGAATGGAAGCCGCTCTAAGTAAAGTGTTGAGCTTTCCAGGGAAGGAGTTTTCACGTTGGGAGCCTCCACCCACAGTCCTCCCCCACGCCTCCCTCACGTCCCCCGAGACGCATTCTGAAAGAGGTTTCAGAGGACATTGCAGCAGGCTATCAGGAACGTATCTGCCAGTTTCCTGATGAAACTGCCGGAGAAAGGGTCCAGATTTATAGTCCATTAAAGGAAAAAAATTGTAATATTTGCATAGAGACAACCATAAACTTGGCATTTGATTTTTATTCTTCTTTTGTTCGCCATTATAAACAATAAAAATCGAACCTAACAAAAACAACAAAAAATGGAGCTCATAGGCTCACTTATCTTAAAAAAAAAAAAAAAGAAAAACACCATAAACCCAGCCGACAGCATTTAAAATTTGGTATAATGAGGCTGGAAGTTTCAAAGCTGATGTCAGGGGACAGACATGGTTCACATCCAGTGCTTTTTAAACAAGCTTTTAGTGTAGGTAGCTACACTGGTGGTGAATAGCATTTAATAAAATGCAATGTGTTCAAATCCAAGCAATTATTTGAAAAGTGGGTTCCTTTTGTTCTTGATTCATTACTTAAATTTACTACATTTCTCCAGCTTCCTTATTTCGGTAGCTTAATGGAAATAAAAACTCATAACCCTAACATACTTGGTCACTACTCTCAGTGAATAATTGGTTAGTACGGATACAGTAGAGATTGACTTTTTCCTACACTATAAGCTACAATTTTAGGGTTTCTTGCCTCAATTTTTCCTCACTCAGTAAGATGATATGCAAATTTTCACCAACTTTGTAAAGGATCGTTCACTTGATTTTTTTATAGCATTAAACATCCTGCAAAATATGTCACTAAAGTGGAGCACATTATTATTTATTGTCTGTGTGCAAATATTTAGATTCAAGATCATGGACAAACTAGTTTGGGTGTTTTGATTCACTACCAGTTATTTTTTTTTAAAGGAAGAAAATCACAGAAATAATTTGGCTCATGCTGACTTTTTTTTCTTGTGGACTGATTAAATCAGCCCATATCAGTCTAAAAATTCAAACCATTTAGATAAGAGGAGTGTACTGCTAACCCAGAATAAGGGAAACAAAACCACACGTCTTCAAAACCATGACTCTCATCAGTATTCGCTGCTGGGCTGGAAAACAAAAACAAAATGAAAAGCTGCCCCCACCCCATCTTTATCATCTTTAATGTCAGTGCCGCTTGCTGTGATCTGTGCTGGGCCAGGAGTTCCTGTCCTCTTGATCCCAGCACATGTGACAAGTAGCGGCACTCTGGGCATGCCTCACAACAAAATAAATACATTAGCAAGACCATTTCACCCTTCATGTCAGCCCAGGCATAAGAGATAGGTTACTTAAAATTCAAGTGCAGGAAAGCCCATTTTAAAAGGGAAATATTTTCAAGTGAATTCCCTTTGATCTTTTTTTATAGGGACTCCTACCAGCCTCTCTCCCTTCCTCTCAGACCCTGGAAACCAATTCGTCTCAGCACAGAGGCCACAGACCAGGTTGAAACGGCTCGTTTTTATTTTTAGGGGTTATAATTTGAGCCGGGATGTCTACTCAGTTGCCACACAGTATACTTAGCACACTTCTCCCTCTCACACATCCACTGGATTTCCCTTTGGAGAATGACTAGATCTTTGAGTCTGACTCCTGGAAAGGAATTAGATCTGGTCGTCATCCAAATCCTTCAGTCCTGACAATGGCATAACATCACAGGGCCACCTCATCCTTCACAGGCAGCCGCACCAAGCAACTGTTCTAAAAGCCTTCTCTCCCTTGTCTTCTGTGTTCTAGCGTTTCTGCGCTCTTCCTTTCCTTCTGTGGTTTGCATACAATTCTGAAAACCTTTTCTTCCATTATCCAAAGTAGCAGAGAAAAGGGGACCAACTTTGATTTTTAAAACGGTTTTGAAGTGCTTATCTTTGGGGGAAAAGGTGCCCCAAAGACAAAAATGAAAACAATTTAGTCTTCACCGACTCCTCACCTCTCTATCCTGAACCTGCCTTAATTCATGGAGGTGAAAAGAATTATCAGCTAGGTTGGCCTTTTCTTTCTCAGGCACAACGTTGCAGAGAGAAAGGGGTGTGTGTATGTGTGTGTGTCTCTGGCACGTTGAAAGGCTTCAGGAAAGGGAGCACAGCTCTCCCCCAAGGAAGCCTCAGCTCGAAGATGGGAGGGGACCCAGGGTCGCCTTCCTTGGTCTGAGCCCAGTGCCGGAGCCGCTCCCTTTGCCCCCGCGGCGAGCTCTGCGCCCTGGAGCCGTGCCAGGACTCCAGACAGCGCCTGGCAGGTCGGAGGGTGGGGGGCCTGGGTGTTCTCTTCGCAGAAGACGCCCATTTGGAGGGAAAACTCCCTTTATTTTCCTGGGACGCCGTAGCCCCCACCTCCCCGGCCCCCTATCATTTTTACGCTGATCGCACTCATGGTGATGAACTTGCAGCTCAGCTTCCTGCCTCCTGCTTGACCCGGGAGCACCAGCAGGCTGCCGGCCTCGCCCTCAGCTCCCGCCTCCTCTCGCAACCCCGCGGCCTCGGGGCGCCGGCGGGGGTTCCTGCGGCCTGGGCTGCAGCAGGGGCGCGCGGGGGCGCGGGGTCCCGCCGGGGAGCGCGCACGGAGCGGCGCCTCGGCCGCCCCGCTTCCTGGAGCTGTGCTCCTTTGACCCCAGTGGCAGTCCCTGTCACTGCACCGCTCGCGCTCCCTCCGGCTCGCCGCGCCCTCGCTCCCTCTCCTCGCCCCCTCGCTCGCTCTCTGCCCAGATCGAGGCTCTCCCGTCCTTTCTCCCCCGCCTCCCTCTCGCGCCGCGCCCCCGGCCCCCCGCCCCGGCCCGCCGCGGGACCTCCAGGGTCGAAGGTTCTGGCCCGCCCGCGCCCCCTCCGCCCCCGCGCCCCGGCCGCCGGCTCGGGCCGCTCGGCGATGGATCGCCTGCTCGCCGGGCGCTGAAGGCATCCCCGGACCGGAGCGCAGCCCGGAAAGGTAATCCGCCCGGGAAGGGAGGCGCGGGGCGGGGGAGGGGGAGCGGCCGGGCGCCCGGTGCCGCGCGCGGAGGAGGGGAGAGAGGCGCACACAAAGCGCAGCCGGAGAGGTGCCCGGCCGAGGCGCGTGCGGGCGCGGGGCTGCGGACCGCGGCTGCCCCGGCCCCGGCGTTGGCGCGGGCGGGCGCTCCCCGGGCAGTTCGGGACCCGAGCGGGGCTCGTTTTCCGCCCCGGGCGAGGGCGATTCCTCTTTCGGAGCCGTCTCCCGGCTCCCCATCGCGCCCCTCTGCCCTTCCCCCTTCCCCGCCCTCGGCCCCGACCTCGCGGGTCCCACCTCCCGCCCCCTCCTCCGCCGGGTGTCGCGGGGGCAGCGGCCGAGCGGGCGGCGGGGCCGGGGGTGGGGACGCGGGCGCGGCGAGCTGCCGCCGCGGGTCCGGGCTCCGCGCCCCGGCCGCCGGCCTAGGCCCGGTGCATTGTGTCGGCCGAGCGCGGTGCGGGCCGGGGAGGCGCCGTCAGCTTTGTGCTCCGGCCGTGCCCGCCGCCGGCCCCGCGCCCGTCCCCGCGGCCCACGCGCGCAGCCTGCCCCGAGCCGGCCACCCGCGGGCGGGCACGGCGGAAAAAGTAGCCGTGCGGCCGATGGCTCCTCGGGAGAGGCGGGAGTTTCTTCGCTATTTACACGTAACACGGAGACCTTCGGAGGGCCGTGGAATTCCGGGGTTTTGCGGCCTAGGAGGTGAAGGGGGCATTTTTCTGGAGCTTGGGGAGGAGGCTAGGATCCACCAGCAAGGAAAGAAATTAAGGATGCCCCCGTGGGGTGGATTTGTAGCACATTTACCTTCCCCCTCCCTCCGCACACGCCAGATGAAGTGCAAATGCGGGTCATGGAAAATGTGTAATTGATTTGAGATGCTGCAAACACACACACAGGTCAGGGTGGGAAAAAACAAACAAAACTTTAAGTGAAAGGAGAGCTATCCAAGGAGGGGGGATCCGCGGCCTCCACCCCTGCCGCCGCTCCAGGGACGCAGCCGGCGGCTCGGGGACAGCGGGCAGGCGGCGGGGCTCCTCTCCGGGGTTCGGGGACCCAGCGCCCGGGGCCGACGTCGGGGCGTGGGGCAAGGATGCTCCGGCGCGGAGGGCGCTGTCAGAGCGCCGGCCGCCGGTGGTCATCGAGCAGGCGGGGGCCGGGCAGAGGGAGAGAAAGACGGACAGCAGCGCCAGCAGCGGCGACGACGGCGGTGACCGCGGGGGCTGAGCGGGTCAGGCGAGCTGCTGCTGGGGGAAGGAGGGGAGCGGAGCCGGGGTCAGGGCGCGGGAGGGTGTATGTGTGTGAATGTGTGTCTGTGTACTTGCTGATGCTGCCCCCCCACAAGTGCCCACCCTAGATTTAAAACAAACAAACCAATCCCAAGTAGAGGGCTCCGCGCCCCCCGCCCCACCGTATATAGACTCCACGCGGTGCCAGCGGCGCGGGAGAGGAGTCCTGCCCCAGCCCTGGGCGAGGATGCGCCGGCCGGGTGTCCGCAGTGCTGGAGACGAGTGCAGGTGTAAGTGCGGCGGCGCTCCGGGCACACGCACGTGCCCTCGTGCGTCCCTCCAAAACCCGGGCGGAGCGGCCGCCGGGAGGTGTGGGCATCCCTCCGGGATGCAGGGATGAGTGACCGGAGGTGGGCATGACGGAGGAGGGGCGTGGGTTGAGAAAGCGCCGGATCTGCGCGGCGGAGGGAGCAGAGCGCGAAATTCGGCGGCGTCGGAGCAGGCGAGCTCCCGAGTCCGGCCCGGCGGGCGGGCGGCGTCTCGGGGCGAGCGCAGGCGGCGAGCATCCTTGTTGGAGGAGGAGAGCTCGGCTCCTGGCTGCTGGGCTGTGCCGTGCGGTGCTCGGGTAGAGAGGTCGTGAGCTGTTGCTTTGAAACTTTTGGTCAATTGGACTTGTGGTGTGTCGGAGGTGGAGACAGTTATTTAATTCCTCAGCTTTTCATCCTTTCGTTGCCAGCCGACTTTAAAAGGTTTTCCAACTAGATTCCTGAAAAAGAACAGTGCAAGTCACACAGCTTAAGGGACAGGAGATGTGGTTGCTGTCTAGGAAATGCAAAATGTGCTCACATGGTTGTTTTTTTTTTTAAGAGAAAATCAAACTAGCACCAGCATGAATGTCTGGCAATGTCAGTCCCTTTTAGGTTTTTCTTTAGGATTCCTGGCATTTACTACTGGGTTCCTTTGTTTTGCGGAGCAAATGTGTTGAAGTATAAAAGGAAAATTTTAAAAAAGGATGTTGGTCTCTTTAAATATTTCTATTTAGAAAGTAGTGTAACTGTGGCGAGGATGCCCTGCTCCAGAATCTGGTCGTTTGGAAGGTTTTACAGCCTAAAGATGTGAGCAGGTGAGGCAGCTTCTTCATGGTTTTAGGCAGTGGACCATTCCGTCTTGTTTCAAGCTTTTTCCAGATTCCTTGGGATAGGGGAGGGGAGCATTGCCGCTGTCTCTGAGAGTTTACCCCCCCCCCAAATCTTTCCTTGTGTTGGTGTTTAACATTCTTAGGTTATGTTCATTTTGTGATGTGAGTGGGAGTGAACACAGCATTTTAAAAAAATAAGCCTTTTCTTGAGTTGTCTGTGAAGGATCCTGTGAAAGTTTTGAAGCTCTCTGCCTCAGTCTGACATTTTCTTCAAAGGACTGCAGATTAAAGAAGATAGACGCTGCAGGTGCACTGTTTCGATAAAACATTTGAAAGAGAACATGGCAAGGATGAATTCCAATGAGGTGCCAGCCACCCACTTAGCCCTTCAGACTTCTAGGGGCCTGGGCTTGCTGAGGAAAAGATGTTCTGTTTGTCTTGCTGGGGCGAAGGTGCGAAGAGGCACTCACGTCCACTGGATAGAAGAGGCAGTCCTGCCTTGACTGAGGGATGAAGTGGGCCTTTTAGGATGCCCGTCCGTCTCCTTCTGGCTTCACATGGGAGGGTCTAAAACAACCGCTTTAAGTCGCTGCAAAGAGATTTACGTAGTAGGTACGTGTATTTCATTTCTAGGCCGTTTTGCTTAGTTTAATTAGTGAGCTGGCTCCAGAAACATTTAAACTCTTCCTGGCACCGGGTGCAGAGATTGTTCCTGAGAGGTCACAGTGGTCTAGACATGAATTTTTTTTCCTTTGCTTGTTAATGTTCTGCCTTTCACACAATAGACAGTGATGGCAGGAACATAAGAATTGCCGTGTAATTTTTGCACCCCTCTCTAATTTATGCAAACACTAAGTTCTCAAAGTCTGAACATGTGTATTTTTTCCCTCTGTGCTTTGATGGCTAACATTCTTTTTAATGACAGTCATTTCTATAACAGGAAGATGTTTTCATTTGTATTTACTTTTCAGCCTGGCGCAATTATGCAGTTTTGCGCTTCACTCGTGTCTCGGTACTTTGTGTCTCAAAAGAGAATTACAGTACTTAGAACAGGACTGCAATTTGAAGCAGGTGTTGTGTTTTACTGTTATGCAAAATAACAGTAAAATATAATTGTGGGGGAAATTAAGGAAACAGCTGCAAACTTGGTATGAAAACTGCTACATTATGATTTGTAAGCGGTTCTTATAGATATCTTACATCAGAGGCGCTGGGAAAGATTTTAATTTAGTTAATCCTACTGGCCTGGTTGTCTGTCAACTAGTGCTTAAGGGACTCATACCTCCCACGAAGTCAGGAAGAAGAAAGAGAACCCAGAGTGACACTTTGTGTAAAACGCCGGAGCCCAGGGACTCATGTCCCGGCAGTGCCCTTGTGCAGTGGAACACAGGCAGGTGGGTGTTACCTGGCTTGCTTTGCTCCTAGGAAGCTATGAAGAAGCAATGATTTGCGTAGAACACTGTGGAATTTCTTAGCCCAGCTAGCATATGGAGGAGTACACAAGCCCCAGGTTGTAAAATAATAAAATAAATGGCCTATGGCAGGCCATCTGCCTTTGCTTGATATTTAAGGTGTTTCATGCCAAATTTAAATCTAATCTTATTATTCTAAATATTTTTATTTGAGATAGCAGCTAAGATTCCTGGAGCCTAATGGTGCACAGGGCGAAGTATTCTGTGTGTGGAGCCCTGAAGGGAGAGCGAGGGTGACCCCCAGGGTTACCGGGGGAGTGTTCCCGGCCTCTCTCCAGGCTCTGATCAGTTGCAACAGTTTCGATGCCAGGATTTGCCTTCCTCAGTCTCTCCACACCTGCTATGAAATTATACACCCTCATTTCTGAACCCAGGGCAGCAAAAAATGTATTGACATTTATAAAAAGAATCAAAACTAATGGAAAATTTTAAAAAGTATGAAGCCAACTACTGAGCATTATGCCACACCAAGGAGGATGGGGGTGGTGGACATATTGCCTCCTTCACCGCTCCCTCAGGCTCAGAGAGGGGCGGCGATGCGTGCATCCAAAGAGGTAGTCCAAGCCTGGGGGTGTTTGATTTTCCCCCAGTGACTGGAGTGTTTAAAGAAATCATGTCCCATTTAGCAAGAAGGATTTGCTTTTCCATAAAGTTCTCTCGGTTGGAGTGGAATGTGTTTGTACGCCAGGCATTGAGGACCTGTGTATTTTGGGAGCTGCTTGTGAAAGAAAAAATTACATGTAATGCGTGTATACGTTATATGTGTCTTGTAGTTGCACACGGTGTCTCTTAGGAGCACAGCATTTTAAATTTACATTTGTCATTGTATTCCATGGCTGTGTTAATAAGCCTTGAGATTTCAGATTATTATATGACACCAACTTTGTACACACCAAACATTCCAATTAGCAGAGAAGGTTTGGAAGACTCTGCACTTGGAGCACAAGCCATTTATAGTTAGACACCATGGCAACTGTGGCTATGCCCCTTCCGTAATTCATGTTAAGTGCCATAATTATAATTAAAGAGGAAGTCTTAGTTTGCACGCCATTGAATTGACTTGCTAGCGGCCAGCAGGGTCACATGGTATCGTGTGTCCCCTCGGAAGGCCACTCAGGGTGAGAGTTGGGAGAGGTTCTATCCACGAGGCGACAGCACATATTAAGTTTTTTCCTGAACCCATTTCATGTCCAAGTGTCACATTTGACTTCTCTGAGAGCACCCTCTTGTTCTTTGTTCTCATTTGATGATTTTTTTTTCAGAAACGCACAGCAGTATTGACGAGTAGATCCTTGGGGGCGGAGGTTGGCTGAGACGCACCATGCCCGCTTCCCTCCTTTGCTCCGGAGAGTTGTGAGTCGCTCAGGCCTACAGAGAGGAAGGATGGCACATGGGATCCCTTCTCAAGGCAAAGTTACCATCACGGTGGACGAGTACAGCTCCAACCCCACCCAGGCGTTCACGCATTACAACATCAACCAGAGCAGGTTCCAGCCGCCACATGTACATATGTAAGTATCGCTCGTGAACTTAAAAGATTAACGATCAAGAAAATAGAAGTAAGATAAGGAGCCAGTAATGAGTTCTGTCAGGGAGAGTGAAAGGTACATGATTCTCAAAACAGATGGGTGTATGTTCTTCCACATGCAGCTCAGAGAAGTCCCCACATCTGCGGAACATTGCAAATTTGCAGAGTTCTTTCAACCACAGTTTGACGTTAGATCTTCAGAGCTTCTGAGGGGCCGTGGTAGGATTCCCACATTTTGTGGATAACAACAGAGAGGTTAAGTATTTGCCTAATGTCACACAGTGAATTTTGGCAGTCTCCTGACCTCTAGTTCAGTTTGCTTTTCCATTGTATTGCTTGACTCCAGGATGAAATATTTCTTTAAAATGTCTGTACTTTTCCCCCTACACCTCACCCCACTACGCCTTTACATTCAGCTGGGAAATAGGCCTAATTGGGACTAATTGTCTAGCCACTGCTAAGTCCATTGTCTTGCCTGTTGCTCGTGGAACGTGGGCTGCATGCTGCAGGACACAAACAATGTAGGGAACAAAGGGTTAAGGGGCAGGGGAACAGTTGGTTCCAGGAGCTGTACTTTTCTCTCACTCCCTAATACTGTGGAAGCTGTGTTGCTCTTTAAACTGTTTAAGGAACAAAGTGTGGGAGACGCCCAGAGGCAGGGGTTCTGCGGGTGCGCACCAGCTTTTTTCTGCTGAGCTTTGCGCAGAGGGGCACGAGGTCTCCGTGTCCGCCGTTTATTCGAGGCCTGGTGCTCATTCTCCATTCCACGCCTCCAGGGTCTAACACCCGAGTTTCCTAGTAGGATTAAACCTCTTTGAAAACCATTGTATGGTCAGGGGAGAGAGGAGGCAGGACTCTGTTGACTGTCGCTGCCGTCCCTGGGCCCGTCGGACTCGGGGCATGTCTGAGTCACAAGCTCTTTTTTTAAGTAATTGTTTTATTTGGGCAATTAAAGAAATAGAAGGACCACCTCCCCCAGCACACACATAACCCCCCCCAAATTTGGAAACACTAACTAGACGAAAAGATCCTTCTCTTGACTGCCTGGGTATTAGCGTAAATAGCAGGATGTTACTTTGGAAGTATGTTCTGCACAGCCACTCAGCTACCTGTGGTGGAATTTCTGCAAAAACAAACAAACAAGCAAAACGAAAGGAAAAAGGGAAAGAAATCTTTGCAAACAGTGTTAAACTATTTCTAAGAATTTTTAGACTTTCTCTAAATCACAATATATTCACAGTTACGAAGGATTGCTAACTCGATTTTAAGGAAAAGTTTTTAAGGTGAATAAGATTTTTCTTTGTTAAAAGGACTTTTCTGGACAATAACTCTGTGTTCATTTCAAATATTCCCTTTGTCCTTCTGCTTGTCATAATCTCTTTTTCTTGAAATAGTTGTAGAATTTGTGCAGGCTGGACTTAGGGTGCCTTTCTCTCTGTTTTGCTGGTGTGGTGTTTTGTGGTAAAGAATCGCAAAGAACTTTGTGGATTCTGTTTCCTTTCAGGCACGAGAAAGTTTATTTTGCCCCAGATTCCCAGGAAAACCACTGATAGGGAATCGCAGCTCAGTCTTCACGTGTCTGTGGCTGTGAGATTCCACTGGTGACCTGAGAGTACGCAGAGACGTTTTAAAATTGTGTCACCTCGAACTGATCTGCCTCAGTCTAGCCACGAAAAATTCAAAGGATCAGATTATACCTTTTTTGACAAAGAGGCTTGAAAAATGGGGTTTGCAGTGGCAGCCTGGACAGCTGCGCAGCCCCCTTGCCAGACGTCCCCCCCTGGGGTGGAGGGTGCTCCCGCGGTCCGGGTCCAGCTGGTCTGTTCACCTCCTTCACCCACTGAGGGCCTCCCGCTGGAACCCTTGGCTCCCCATCACCTGTGCACACCTGAGCTTTCCCGCCTTGGTGCGCTCATTGTTTCTCACCGCTGAGACGCTCACTTTGGTGCCCATCAGAGGCCTCAGAGCCAGGCCCCTCTAGGTCTGTGAAACCCCTTCTGTCCCCTCGTCCACACTGACTGTGCCCACCCCCCAACACGATTCCCTGCCACTTGGCGTTCACTTCAAACCACACCACCTCCATTATTCTCTCTCTCTCTCTGGAGGAAGTTTGGTCTTGAGCTATCATCTGTTGCCAATCCTCCTCTTTTTTTTTTTTTGCTTGAAGAAGATTGTCCCTGAGCTAACATCTGTGCCACTCTTCCTCTATTTTGTATGTAGGATGCTGCCACAGCATGGCTTGATGAGAGATATGCAGGTCTGCTCCCAGGATCTGAACCTGGGAACCCCTGGGCCTCCAAAGCGGAGTGCACAAACTTAACCGCTGTACCACTGGGCCGGCCCCCATCACTTGGTTCTTAAGGCAGAGGTTGAGCAGGTAACAGGCGCTCCGAAATATTGATTGATTGATTGAGCCATTGGTTTGATTGTGCCCTGAGATGGGAAATTGTGGTTGAGAGTTGGAGGTTTCTGCTGGAATTTTTCTGTCCTGTCCCGACGTCTGGGGCGTTTGTCTGAGGGTGCGTACGCGTCGTCAGGATGCTGGCCTGCCTTTTCCTGGGTTTCTTTTCTGTGCTTCCTGCCCTGGTGCAGTGACCGGCCTGCGCTAGGCGTTCAAGTGTCTTGGTTAGACATGATCGTGTTGTGTTTAAAAAAAAAGATTGCCCTTAGTCTAAATAGAAAGTTAAATTGACTGGAAAATACCCATAAAATATTTAGTCTGAAATTTCTTCAGTTTTTCTGAGATTTTCAGCATGTCGTGGCAGAGCTTTGCTCCTCTCCCTAAAGATATTTTGTCTTTTCCACTTGAATAGCTGCTCATTTATTTTGCATGGGATGCTTGAAACATCTGCTTTCCTTTTCCACTTAGGACTGAGGTCTGTGGAGGCCCGTGACGGGTCACCTGGCCCGAAGACACAGTCCTGGTCCCTCACATGACAGACACTGTTTGCTTTCTTACAGCCTAGTGGGGTTTTCTCACCCGAGTTAAGGAACAGCTCACATCCCATTAAATTCAGCCGGTCTCATCTCGGCTTCGAGACCCACCTTGGGCAAGCTCCCTGCCTTCTCCAGGCCTCAGTCTGCCCAACTGTAAACATTTGCACCAAATGAGAGTTCTGGCTTTGTTTTAGCTCTGAAGGTACTAAGATTAAGGTCACAATCAAGACAACGTTTATTTGCCAGGTGTTGCTGTGGGGGGAACGCAGACACGTGAGACCTAGTCCCCATCTGCACGAAGCACGACATTGATTTCAGGGCTGGCGTTTCGCTTGGCTTTAAGAGGTTTGCAACCTTGTCTTGGTTTGGTTTCACCTGGGAGTTCCAAGGAGGCTGCCACGGAGCTTTCTAGAACCACTGGCTGCATGTCTGCCTGTGATGTAGGGAAGATTTCTTTTAAAGAAAGCAATCCTGTATGACCTTGGGAAAGAACGAAGGCTCAGCTGGAGTTATCAGGGCAGGATTGACCGGGAGTGGTGAGCCCCTCTTACCCATACTGATGCGGGATGGCTGGAAACCAGCAATCAGCAGGCTTCATTTTTCTCCAACCCCTTCATCTTTCCCAAGCAGAGTGTTGAGAACGTTGTTTAGTAATTTTAATGATGATGGGAGGAGGTGCTGAAGGAGCCAATAAGGTCTGATAACACCATAAAGACTTTGTGTGTTTTCAATTATCTGAAGCCTAATAAAATATTATAAGCGTCTCTCTTAGGGTGTTCGACCATCTCAGTTTTTGCACTGAAAGCCCCATGTTCTGGGAGAGCCTCAGTCCTGCGCTAACCCACATGGCCGGTCACCCCACTCAGGTGAATTCCTCACCTCTTGCTTTAAGGTTGGTGGCTGGGAAGCTCAGATCCGGTTTTATTTTCAGTTGTAGGCACCTTACTTGTCTGTGTCTTGGGTTGTCAGCACCGCTGGCACCTTCCTTAGCTCTGCTCTTTTATGCTTGGTTTTGGGTGGCGGCGTAGCGTAGTGGTCAGCATCTCCAGTGGAATCTGATCGTTGGATTTAAAACCTGGTTGCACCACTTACTAGCTGTGTAACCAACCATGGAGAAATGTACTGACTTCTCTGTGTTTCTTTTTCCATTTGTAAAATGTGGATTATAGAAGTAGTGCCTATCCTGAAAGGTGATTGTGAAGGTTAACACAGTATTACCTGTGAAGTTTGTAGAGGAGTGCTTGGTACAGAGTCTAGACTCAGTCAGCGTTTGCTGTTATCATAGTCTGTACTCAGGCGTTAGCTGTTATTGTAGTCTATACCCAATAAATGTTAGCTGTTATCGTAGTCTATACTCAATAAGCGTTTGCTGTTATCGTAGTCTGTACTCAATGTGTTAGTTATCATAGTCTATACCCCATAAGCGTTAGCTATCATAGTCTGTACCCAGTAAGTGTTAGCTGTTATCATTAGTGACTGTCTTATTGATTGTCCGTTTTTTATTCTAAGCTGTCTCAATCCATGTTGAAAATCAATGGCGTATAAGGAAATGAATAAATAAGAAAATCATCACTGGTCAGTTTTGTCCTGTCTTCCTCAAGGAGTCGTTACCAGCGTGCTTTTCTGGGTGGATTTTGGCCGTCAGGGCTGGCAGGTGTGCTGACTTCGTAGTGCTGGTCAAGGCCATAAACAGCCGAGGAGCGTCTCGCCCACCTCCAGTGACTCCATGGGAGGGACAGACCCAGGTGGGAGGAGTCCTCAGAGCTGAATGTTGCCGGGTTATTCACTGCGGGATCACAGTGGCTGTCCTCCACTTGGGCCGGTCTCAGGCCCTTCTTGCCCCATCAGTGTCCTAGGCTCCCCACCTCTGGCTGTGGTTAAAACAGAAGCATCACGTGTTAACCATAACTCACCAGGACTGACTGCAAAGGGCGCAGCTTGGGCTGGGGGATGAGGACAGCATTCTCATGGTAGCTGAGGACACGGTCTGTAATCAGAGGTCTCTGCGCAAATGCTGATCTCTCCAGTGACTGGCTTGATTGGGCA